CCCGGTGTTTCACCAACCGCGGCGGTACCATCCTCCGCCGGCGCCGGCGCCGGCGCCGCCGCCGCCGCAGCACCCGCATCAGTACGGGAAGTATCAGCAGCTCGGCGCGGGGATGCGCGTGAACCCGGCGCGGGGGCAACACTACCAACACCAGCACCAGCAGCAGCGATAGACCGACGGGCGGGAGGAGGACGCGCGCGTACAGTAGTACCGTGTATCGGATTGTCATCACGAGTAGAGGAGTATCGTACGCACGTTCTTTTGGCGTCGTGGTATTACAGAGGGCGCCGCGTGCCTAAAACACGCCGGCGAGGTGGTGGGGCGCGTCAGGTCCTGTCTGTCCTTAAGGAGTGACTGACGGTTCAACGCGCCGCGGGGTCGTCGCATCGCGTGGGGAACGGTCGGTCTCGGTCTCCTCCATCGATCGATCGATTCAGGGCTGTTCTATACGAGCGATGATATCGGGGTGGAGTTGAAAGGCGTCAGAAGCGGAGTTCAAAGGTGTCGCGGGCGGGGATTGAAAGCGAGGGACCCTGGGCGGAGAGATGCGCCGGGAGAGAAAGTCCTTAAGGATCGGCGTTCACCACGCCGACGCGGTCGTATGGGAACCAGTGTAACCAGAACGCACCTCACTGATCGCACACGTTGAGGTGCCCCTCCGCGGCGATCTCGTCGATCGACAGCGTCTCCACGTCCCCGGTCGCGTACAGCACCTTCGCGCTCCTCGCGCGGTTGTTCAGCGACACCACCTCCGCGCTGTACCACATCCCGTCGTCCGGCCAGAACAGCTGTCGTTCGTCGGGAGAGGAGAGGGGAGGACGAGGGAGTTCGTCAGAGGGAATCGGACGGGTGGATTTCTGAGATTTTGAGATGGATGAAAACATCGCGCGGCGAGTTTTTTTTTTGTTTTTTCGCGCGAAGCGGAGCGTTCGCTCGAAATCCGGCGACGGAGAGCGGGGGACGGACCTCGATGCGAGCGTTGTTCAGCGCGTTCAAGTTCCCGTCCGCGGGAAGGATGAACCCCGGGGAGGGTTTCCGGAGCCCGGCCGCGGTGACGACCGGGAGGTCGTCCATCCGCGCCTTCTTCGCGGGCGCCTGCGTCGACGGAGGACGGGAAGAGATGCGAAGAATTCGACGGTTAGCGCGGAGGAGCGTGTCTTCCAACGTGGGCACACCGCGGGAGACGCGCGAGATGGCGGGGCTCGGGCGCGCGCGACGCGGCGCCGAAGAGACGCGCGCGGGCGTCGTCGAGAGGAGAAAAGGGCCGAGAACCGAATCGGCGGGTCGGACGGAGGATGGGAGCGTCGCGCGCGCCCTCGCGCGCGCGAACGCGGAGGACGCCCGGCGCGCTGAATGAAATCCGTCCGTCCGCCCCGCCAGCGGGTCGAAATTCTCGACGACGCGGTCTCTCGCGCGGACGCACCGTCGCCGCCGCGGCCTTCTTGTTCGCCTTCGGTTTCCCCGCGGACGCCTTCCCGGAGAGGACCTCGTACACCGTGGGCATCGAGTTGATGCTCTTAAACAGCTTCTCCCTGTGAATTGCGTCGAAGAACGGAGCGCGTCAGCGGCGTTCGTGAGAACCTAAAGCGCGAAATGAATAATGAGCGCTCGCGCGCGCACCTCTCCTTCGCGTCGAACTTCGCGCCGTAGTAGAACGCGACCGCCATCAACCACGCGTCCGAGTGCACCGCCACGAGCGCGAGCCAGTCCTTGCGCTGTTACATCGGGAGATATCGAGGGAGATATCGAGGGCGTCAGCGGACCGCGCCGGGAGGAGGAGCGAGACGCGCGGATTTCCGATGGGACGGAGCGGGAAAAAAACGCAACAACGCGAGCGGCACGCGCCTGCATCCCGTCCCTGGCGAAGTTGATGCCGAGCGCGGGCTCGGGGAGCTCCGGCGGGACCTCCTCCGCGGGGAGCTGCACCTCCCAAGTCCCGTCGGGGTTGCCGTACAGGCACAGGTTCTCCTTATCCGGGTCGCATTGGTCGTAAAACGACGAGTTTTCTGCGCGGAGAGGAGAGAGGATCGAATGAAGATTTCGCGTGAGCGAGCGAGCGCGGAATTCGTTCGCGCCGGCCGGAGACGCGCGGCGACGAGAGGACGCGAGGCGCGCGCACCGGTGGTCAGGGCTTTGATGAGACCCTCCCGCCTCGCGTTGAAGTTATCGAACACGTCCTCGACGGTCCGCGGGGCTTCCATCGTGCGCGACCGGGTTCGAAATGACCGCCGAGCGCGCTATCGCCGGAAAATCATCGCACACTTGGCCGGGTTGTGTGAGCGAGAAGACTTTAATCTTTGAACGTTTTTCACCCACAACTCGGTTTCAAAATTTGATCGCGCCGCCTTTCAACTGACCGATGAACTTTTTTTATTATAATCGCCCTCAGTCACGCGGTGCAAACGCGCTCGAGCGTTCGTCTAAGTAGCTCCTCTCTCTCTCTCTCTCTCTCTCTCTCCGCGCGTCTCCGTCCATCGCGTCTACATCTGATGCGCGAGCAGCGCGTCCGCGGTCGCCTCTTTCCTGCACACGAGCCAAAAGTCCACCACGAGCGCGGTCCACCGCTGCGGCGGCAACCGGTTCGAAGACGCCAGCTCGCAAAACGTCCGAAGCGTCGCGCCGTCGAGCGGCTCCACGCCGGGCGCGTTCGGGAACCCTCCCGCCGGGTTCGAGAGCACGACGCTCGCGATCCACTGGTCTACGATCGCGCCGTACGCGCCGCGCATCGCGTGCAGGAGCTGCGCGGTCGGGCGTAAGAGGTGCCGCGGGCACGTGTCCGCGCCCGCGGCGACGACGGCGGCGACGACGGCTTCGCCGCGCGTCGACGCGAACGCGTCGACCGCGCCCTTCCCTCGACTCCACGTCGCGCTCGCGCTCGCTTTATCCCCGGGGGCGATGATCACGGACAAGAACGCGACCGCAGCGCGCACGGCGTCGCGCTCGAGCGTGCTGAGCGCCGCCGCGGCCATCTCCGCGAGCGGCGGCAGCGCCGGCGACGTCAAAAGAATCGCCGGCGCGTGCAGCGCAAACGCGCGCGCGAGTTCAAACGTCGCGCGCGCGAGGTCCGCGTTGTCCGACAGCGGCGACGCGCTCAGCGTCGAGTGCGCGGTCTGCGACGCGGTGAGGAGCGCAGAGGACAGCGCCTCCGCGACGGACGGGTCCGCGACGCGCGCGACGCCGTCGTCCGAGGTCGCGGACGCGGGCGCGGCGGATGTAACGACGCCGCCGGGGTCGCGCGCGGCGGCGAACGCGCCGCTACTCCCGCCGACGCTGAACACCTCGACGATCACCGCGAGGACGTCCAGGCACCGCGCGTTCGCGCTCGGCGACGCCGTGAACGCGTCCTTCAGCGCGGCGAGGACGTGAGGCAGCAGCGGCTTCGCGGAGCGCTTCGCGCAGAGCACCGCGCGCGTGTACACGTCGCACAACGCGTTTTGAACTTTCGGCACCCCCCGCCACGGGTCCCCGGCGAACGTCGACAGCGTCGGCCACGCGTGCGATACCACCGCCATCGCGGGGTGGTTCGCCGCCTCCGCCTCTGCGATCGCGGGAAACTCGAGGAACCTGACCGCGGACGCGAGGAGGGAGAGCTCCGCGGCGAGGAGCGACGCGTTCGCGTCGGAGCCGCCGCCGGCGGCGTGCGCGACGGCGCGTCGCAGCGGCGGCTCCGCGAGCCGCCGCCCCGCGTCCGCGGCGACGTTCGCGTCGCTCATGGACGCGATCACGCGCGCGATGCCCTCCACGATCGCGGCTCGATCATCATCGTCGCCGCCGCCGCCGGAAGAAGAAGAAGAAGAAGAAGCGGGCGGCGGGCGCGCCGGCGTCCGCTCGTTCGCCGCGTCCATCAACGCCGTCGCCGCCGCGACGGAGTTGAACCGCGCCGCGCACCGCGCGAGGACGTTCCGGAACGCCGCGCTCGCGTGCGCGAACGCCTCCGGCACGCGGAGCGCGCCGAGAAGGTACGTCACCGCGCCCTGCGCCATCGCCTGCCCCTCGCGCGACTGCCCGAGCCACGCGGCGTACGCGCCGATCATCCGCGATGTCGACGCCACCACGAGCGGATGCGACGTGAACGCGCCGCCGCCGGCGAAATCCCCCGCGTTGGCCGCGACGCCAGCCTCGCCGACGCGCTGGAACAGCTGCGACAGGAACGCGTGCGTCTCCGCCTCGTCCGCGACCTCGGACGGGTCCCTGGTGGTGGCCGCGCCACCGAACGCGACCTGCCCAGCCGCGCCGCCGCCCCGGTTCGATCGCCCCAGCGTCGTCTGCTTCAGCGTCGTTCTATACAAGCGAACGTCGGGGTGGAGTTGAAAAGCGTCAGAAGCGGAGTTGAAAGGCATCGAGGTGTGTCGGGATTGAAAGCGAGGGACCCTGGGCGGAGAGATGCGCCGGGCAAAGTCCTTAAGGAACGGCGTTCACCACGCGAACGCGGTCGTATGGGAACCAGTGTATAGAACGCACCTCAGCGGCGCCGCCACCGCCCTCGCGGCGAACACCGCCGCCTCCGCGTCCTGCCACGACCGCGCGCTCGCCAGCGCGCCGCCGATCTCGAGCAGACACCGCGACCGTATCATGCCGTAGCAGTTATCGAGCACGTCCGCGAGGATTTGCTCGCGGAACCGACCGAACGTGTCCTCGTCCTCCTCCGCTGCGTCCCACGTCGTGAAATCCGCGGGCAGCGTCGCGCGTCGAACGCACGCGCCGACGAGGCGCTTGAACAGCGGCTCCCCTAGCGACGGATGCCGGCTCGAGACGCTCACGGTGTTCAGCATGAGGAAGTAATCCGCCGCGGCCTCCATCACCGGGCGCGCGTGCGCCTCCGCGGCGCACAGGACGAGGTCGGTGAGGTTCAGACACTCCGCCGGCGCGTCCGGGCGCGCGAGCGCGCCGGCGTCCTTCTCGCTCACGGCGACGGCGACGCGGCAGACCGCGCGCGCGAGGTCCTCGCCCTCCTCTCCCGCCATCATCGCGTCCCTCTGCGCGCAGAGCCCGCCGATGATGGCCCGAAGCGCGTTCGATTCGTCCAGCGCGTCGTCGCCGACCGCGCCGGGCGAGAGCACCGCCGAGAGAAATTCGACGGCGGCGTCCGACGCGACGTCCACCCGCAGCGCGTCGACGGCGCCTCTGAGGTGCGTCGTTCCATGATACGAGCGATGATGTCGGGGTGGCGTTGAAAGGCGTCAGAAGCGGAGTTGAAAGGCGTCGAGGTGTGTCGGGATTAATGAGACCGTGGGGTGGGCGGAGAGAGACGAACGCCGGGAAGTAAAAGTCCTCAAGGATCGGCGCGCGCCGCGCGCGACGCGGTCGCACGGGAACCGGCGTAAATATGAACGCGCCTGAGCAACCCCGCGCGGCACCTCGACAGCTGTCCGGGCGACAGCGCGCACCCGCCGACGTTGTCCTCGTCCAAGCGCAGCCACGCGAGCGCGGCACGCAGCGCGGCGCCCCGCAGCCCCGCGAGCGACGCGTCGCGCGCCGCCGCGTCTAGAATCCTCTCCGACAGCCCCAACACCTCCACGATCCTCGGCACGAGCGCGCACACGCACTCCACGCGCGTCGCGCGGTCGAGCTCGCGGGTCTCCTCCGCGATCGCCGCCGCGATCTCCAGCGCGAGCGTCATCTTCGACGCGTCCGCGCTCGCGCACGACGCGAGCGCCATCGCGCGGTTCGTCGTCGCCGTCGCGGCTTCCGCGCCCGCGCGCGTCGACGCGCACGCGAGCGCGAGGCACATTCGCCTCGCCGCGAGCGCGCTCGCGGGGCCGCGCGACGCGAGGTCGTCGAGACGCGCGGCGACCGCGGTCGCGAACGACGCGCGGTGCGTCGCGGGCAGCGACGCGAAGTCGGACTTGACCTTGCCGTGGAGCATGTTGGCGCCGAAGTACTGCACGGACGGGTCGTCCGATCGCGTAAGCGCGATGGACACCTCCCACGCGTCGTTCGTGAGCGCGAACGCGACGAGGAAGTCGTTCGCGTTCTTCTGCGCGACGGGGTCCGCGCCGTAGAGCGCGGCGATCGCGGCGTGGACCTGCGCGGCGGCCATGGCGCGAGACTTCGCGGCGTGGACGGACGGACGACGACGACGACGACGACGACGACGACGACGACGACGACGACGACGCGCGCGTTCGTTTTCGCGCGGTTCGTTGCAGAAGAGAGTGCCCGAAAAGTCGTCGAACGTCGCGCGCGCCGCTCGCTCCGCGCGCGCCCTCCGCGACCGGACGACGCTCGCGCGCGGTGGATCTCGCGAGCCGCGCCCTATCCGACGCCGAGCGCGAGCGACGCGGCGATCACTCGCGCGGTGCGGCGTCTCCGCGCGGTGCTCGAGTGAGATCGGGTTCGGGTTGCACACAATTGGTATCTCTATGTACAGTGGGGTGCCCTGTTGAGCTGTTGTGCGGGCGCGCGCGAAGGGACACGGGCGAGAGTTTCTGTACGTACGTGTATATCCGCGCACGCGCTCGTCTCGCTCTACTGTATCTACGCGTCGTCCATCGATCAATCGTTCCCGTGCAACCCCGTCCCCGCGAACCCGCGCTCGCGCGCGCGCGTCTCCGCCGCCGCCGCCGCGATCTTCGCTCCCGGCGTCTCGACCCCGCCCCTCCGCGCGCCTTTTCCTCCCCCCGCCTTCGCGTCCGTCGCGGCGTCCGCGCAGCCGTCGGTGACGTCCTCCCACACCTCCTCCTCGCCGTCGCCGTCGCCGTCCCGCGGCGTCGGCATCGGCATCTCCAAACCGGTGAGGTCGTCCGCGTCGTGGTCCGCGCGCGCGACCAGCGCGATCTTCGCCTCCGGCGTCACCCCCGCGCGCGCCAGCGTCGTCGCGTCGTCGCCGCCGCCGACTTCGGCGCCGTCGGAGAAGAAATACAGCGACTGATCGAGCGGGTGGACGCCGAGGCGCTCGAGCACGAGGAGCTTGAGCTGCCAGACCGTGTACGACGCGTCGACGACGACGGAGACGCCGCCGCGACCGGTGCTCTTCGTCGGTGCGGTCGTGTCGGCGGTGCCGTCGGGGTTCGCGCGCCACCACTCTTTCTTCGCGGAGGGCGCGCGGCGTCCGCGGCTCGTCGCCGGCGCCGGCGCCGAAACCGGCGCGACCGAGACTGGCGGCGGGGCTTTCACTTTCTCGACCCAGACGCTCGCGCCCTCGTACGTCGCCGCGGCCGCGGCCGCCGCGCGCTCGAGCTCGAGCGGGCACTCCTCGCAAAGCGCCGGGGTCGTCGTGAGCGTCATCGTCGTCGCCGTCGCCGGCGACGCGCCGTCGCCGGGCGCGAGCGACGCCGTCGCCGTCGCCGTCGCGCGCGGCGCCGCGTCGACTCTCCCGTCCAAAAGCTCCTCGAGCACGCAGAAGTCGTCCTGCCGCACGAGCTCGCACGGCGGCGCGTCCTTCGCGTCGAGCGCGGGCTCCTGGCTCCACTTGCCGCGCGTCGTCCTCGTCAGCGTCGGCGGCGAGCGAAGAAGAAGCGCGTGCCGGCACGTCAGCGCCGCGCACGCGTCGAGAAGCGACGACCGCGACGGCGTCCAGTCCTCCTTCGCGTCCGCCGCCGACGCCTTCCCCGAGCCCGTCGCGAACGCGCGCCATCGGCGCAGCCACTCGATCGGCATCACGCGGAAGCGCGCGTCGGCGTCTCCGACGCTCTCGGAGAAATTGGACGGCAAAACATCGGCGGGGTGCAGCAGTCCCGCGCACGCGTTTCGGTGCGTCTCCGCGAGGTCTTTGCGCCGCGACGCCGCGTCCTCGTTCGACGCGCGCGTCGCCGCGCACACCTCGCACGGCACAGAAGTCTTCACCGGAAACGGCTCGACATCGACCGTTGTTGACAGCACATCGTCCGACACTTTGGCGAACGCTCCTCCTCCTCCTCCTCCTCCTCCCGCGACGTCGTCGATCGGCGCGCCGGTCTCGTCGCACACGACGACGGCGTCGTCGTCGTCGTCGAGCTTGTTCTCGTTCGACTCGAAGTACGCGCCGACGTCCGACAACGGGACGAACGCCGACGCCGTCCCGGGCGGTGCCGATCCGGGTGCCGACCCGGGTGCAGAGAACCCGGGTGCCGACTTCTCCGCCGCCGCCGCCGACGCGTACGTCCCGCGCGTCTCCGCGAGATGCTCGAACACGAGCCCCGGGACCGTCGCGGATTTCGCCGTCGGCGACAGACCGCCGTGCGGGCACCGCAACCCGGCGCACGGCCCCTCTCGCAACCCCGCGGGCGCGTCGCCGCTCCGCCACGCCTTCCACTTCGTCAGCCACGGCTTGGACACCAAAAACGTGGTTGGCGAAGTCGTGATGTCCTCCTCGCCGCCGGTTCCGGTTCCGGTTCCGGTTCCGTCGAGAGCGATCGTCGAAGTCGTCGTCGTCGTCGTCGTCGTCGTCGTCGTCCAACGTTCGAGCGCGTCGCGTATTCGTTCGCGCGTCCTCTCCGCGGTCAACGCGTCGACGTCCTTCTCCGCGCCGCGTCTGAGGCACGCGCGGCAAATCGCGGCGCCGCCTCGCATCGGTTTGAAACGTCCGTCCCCAGTCAGTTTCACCCCCGCGGCGGCGACGAGTAAACCGTACGCCACAGCGGTCACGCGTTTCGCGCGGGTAGACGCTCTCTCCGGGTCGAGTAAACCGTGTTCGCACGCGATGGAGGCGAGCTCCAGCGGCGGCGGCGGCGTCGGCGCGTCGCAGAACTCCTTCAACCACGCCCCCGGGACGAAGTAGTAGTCCTCGTCGTCCCTCGCTGGGTCCCTCGAGGTCCTCGACGCGACGTCCGCGCGCGCCCCCTCCTCGCCGTTCTTCTCTTCATCTTTATCCTCGTGATTTATCCCCTCCGCGCCCTCGTCGCCGTCGCCGTCGCCGCGGACGCACGACGCGCACGCGGCGACCGCGCGCGCGACGTCCCTCCGACCCCGCAGCCGTTCCCTCTCTTCCTCGACGCGCGACGCGTGCGTCTCGATCATCGCCTCGAGCTCGCGCGCGTCCGCGTCGACGACGGCGGCGAGGTCCGCGGGGAGCGACGCGTCCGCGTCGACGTCTATGGGCAAACAGTCTGACGCGTCGCGGCGGCGGTACACGAGGAGGTACGCGTCCTTGCTCGAGAACGTGCCGTCCGGGAGGGTGCTCCCGTCGCGGCCTTTCTTCGGTTTCGAGGGCGTTTTCGGCGGTTTCGAAGCCGCCGCCGAAACCGCCTTCTCCTTCTCCTTCTCCTTCTCCTTCGCCGCCGCGGCGACGACGTCACCGAACGGTCCGCCGCGGAGCTCGTCCACCTCGTCGTCGTCGAACCTCCACCAGGTTGCGTCCCGAGACGCGTCGTTGGTGTCCTTCACGAGCGCGACGTAGTGCCCGCTCGTCGCGTTTTGCCCGCGGTGCACGAGAATGAACGCGAGATCGTACTCGTACGTGGCGCGCGCGTCGTCGTCCGCGCGCCCGCCGCCTCGGTCGCCCTCGAGCGGCGACACGAACTCGCTCAGGTCCACGCTCGAGGGGAACTCGAACGCGTCCGTGACTTTCTTCCGCGTCATCGTGTCGAAGTCGAACACGAACCGCTTCAGGGAGACGTTCAGGTACGGCGGGAGCGCGTGCAGCCGCGCCGCGCGCGTCGCGTCGCACTTCCGTTCGCACCGCTCGCACGAAAACTGAGGGCCATTCCATACGAGCGAACGTCGGGGTGGAGTTGAAATGCGTCAGAAGCGGAGTTGAAAGGCGTCGAGGTGTGTCGGGATTGAAAGCGAGGGGTGATGGGCGGAGAGACGCGCCGGGCAAAGTCCTTTAAGGAACGGCGTTCACCACGCCAACGCGGTCGTATGGGGACCAGTGTATAGAACGCGCCTGATTCTCGCCCTCGAGTTTCTCCTCCTCCAAATACGCTCTCAGGCCGTCCGATAACGTCGTCGCGCGAGACGCGTCGGCGCCGCCCTGCCCGACGTACACGCCGCCGACGACCGCGCCGACGTTCAGCTCGATCTCGTAGAAGTCCACCGGCTTGGACGACGCCTCCGACGCCCGCCCGCACCGACCGCAGATCGTCGCGTACGTGCTCAGCCCGCGGTAGTGCTCCTGCACGAACGTCGTAACGGTCGACGGGTCGCCGTTACCACTGGGGTGGGACCCCGCCGCGTCCTCGCCGCCGCTGACACTCCCCGCGGCCATCCGGGGGAATTCCGCCGCGGCCCTGCGCTCGAGGAACGCGAGGAGGAGCTTCAGGAACTCCTGGCCGTCTTGCTGCGTCCCCGTCTCGAGCGCGAGCGACGACGCGAAGGCGGACGGATCCGCGAAACGCCGCGCGCCGGCTTGCATGATCGCAAACAACCTTCGGAGGTGCGCCACGGGGCCGCCGCCGCCGCCGCCGCCCGTCGCTGTCGCTGTCGAATTCGAATCGTCGCCGGCGTCGAGCGCGAACACGCGCGCGCGGAACGTCTTCGCGTTGAAGAGACACTGCGGGGTCGTTCCGTACGAGCGAACGTCGGGGTGGAGTTCAAAGGCGTCAGTTGGCGTTGAAAGGCGTCGAGGACGGGGATTGAACGCACAGGATGGGAAGAGAGAAACGCCGGGCGAAGTCCTTAAGGATCGGCGTTCACATCGCCGACGCGGTCGTATGGGGACCAGCGTATAGAACGCGCCTGCAGCACGGCGTTGACGTAGCACGTGTTACCGAGGTTTTTCAGTCCCGCGGGCCGTCCTCCGTCGCGGCGCGTCGCCGCCGGGTCCGCGCCGAGGTGCTCCAGGAGGACGCGCTCGTCCTTGACCCACAGACCTTTCTTTCGGTGGCCGCCGTCCGGCGGGACGAGGCCGCAGACGCAGTCGGGCTTGCGCGCGTTCCCCTTGCACGCGCGCGCGCATCTCTTCGACGACGACGACGCGCCGGGCGCCCGGCAGAGGAGCGCGAGCGCGGTGTCGTCGTCCACGGCGTCGGCGTCGCCGCGCGCGGCGCGCTCGAGCGCGGCGGCGACGTCCTCGTCGCGGAGTTTTGGCGCCTTGGACGCGCGCGAGGCGGGCGGGCGGCCGCGCTTCGGAGGCATCGATCTCGAGTCGAATCTGACAGGACGGGCACCCGAACCCTCGCGCCCTCGACGACGACGTCAAATGATGTGAAATCTGGGAGCCCCTCTCGCCCTGCTCCGTCGCCGCGTCGCGAATTCGACGACGCGGTCGTTCACGCCGAGGTACGCGCGACGCGCGCGCGCATCGCGTTCGACGAGCGCGACGTCGCGCGGGGTGGAATGCGACGCGGAGACGCGAACCCAGGGAGACGTCGAGGTAAGAGTGGTGTGTAAATCTGACGCATTCATACAACAACTTAGTTTTGTTAAGCGGGTTTTTTCTACTCCGCCTCGACGACCCCACTTGCAAAACTCTGGCCAAGTTTGCATGTGCGTTTCGGGCTCTCGCGAGGGTTTTTTGCGTTCCTCAGACATCCATTGCGTGTATCCCTCCTTGTCCGACTTGACGCCCGGGTGTTCCGGGTCAAAGTCTTCACACCTTTCGCACAGCCACGTACAGCTCTTCAAGCCATCACCCTCGTCGTCCTCCTGGTACCAAAACGCAACGCCGTGTTGCAGCATATTCGACCTCCGGCGACTGCACACGGCGCACCGGGACGCGCACCAGCAATCGATAATTCTGTGGTGGCAGACGCCACACTCTTCCGCCATCTAGATCCTGCTCGTGTAACTCGGAGGCGTGCGAAGTCTTGTGGCGTTTGTAGGATTTGCATCTCTGCATAAAAATCAGCGTCGAGAACTAACAGAAGCGAGGCGCTACTCGTACGTGTACACGTAGTAGAAGCAGAGACGCCTGCACTCACATCAGCGCTTCACGATATCATCACACGATGACGACGACGATACTACACGTACTACGCGCGCGTCGCCTCACATCTCCATCTTTACCACCTCCTCCTCGCGCTTCGCCCCGCCGCCGCCCCCGCCGCCCGCGCTCAGCCGCCACAACTTCAACGTCCGATCGTACGACACCGTCGCGCACGTCTCCCCGCCCGGCGCGACGTCCACGCACATCACCTTCGCCTCGTGCCCTCTGAGGGAGTTGATCCTCGAGAAATCGCGCGCGCTCCACGCCTTCGCGACGCCGTCGTACGACCCGGTGACGAAGTACCCTCCCCGCGTCGGCTCGTACTTCACCGAGGAGATGAGCGAACTGTGCGCGGGCACGGTGTACAGACACGCGCGCTTCCGCAAGTCCCAAATCTTCGCCGTGTGGTCGTCGCTGCCCGTCGCGACGTGGTACCCGTTCGGGGAGAAGTCCACGCTGAGGCACTGCTTGTTGTGCCCGACGAGGTTGTGCACGCACTTCCCGGTGCGAAGGTCCCACACCTTCCCGTGCGACTCCAGCCCGACGGAGGCGCAGAGGGACCCGTCCGGGTGAAACGCGACGTCGTACACCGCGCGCGAGTGCCCCTCCTGGCACAGGAGCTCCTCCCCGGTCTCGACGCTCCACAGCCTCCACGTCTTGTCGAACCCCGCGGTCGCGAGGTGCTCTCCGGCGGGGTGGAACGCGCACCGCGCGAGTCGATTCGCGTGGCCTTTCAACGTCTTCAAGAGCGCGCCCTTCGCGCTCCAGAGATGCGCCGAGCCGTCCGCGCACGCCGTCGCCATCGCGCACGGCCCCGGTCCCTCCCCCGCGCCGCCGCCGCCCTCTCCCTCCTCCGACGTCACCGCGCGCAACGTCGCGTTCGTCGGGTGAAAGTCCGCGCCCGTGATCCTGTTCTCGTGCGCCTTGACCGTCAGCAGTCGCTCGCATCCGTCCGTCCTCCACAGCCTGACGCCGCCGCTCCACGACGCGCTCATCACGCACGCGCCGCCGTCCCCCGGGGAGAACCGCACGACGCTCAGCGGCCGCTCGTCGCCGATCTGCGAGCACTCCGTCTTGAACGTCCGCGTCGCGGCCGCGTCCGCGTCCATCTCGCCGATCTCGTCGACGGCGGCGTCGGCGCGGCGACGCTTGGCGAGCGAGACGCGCGCGGACGCGCGGGGAAGAGAATAGGACGCGATGAGCGTCCTCGCGCGCATCAAGTTCGCGCTCCCCTCGGTGTAGAACAGCTCGCGCTGGACGTCCTCGGTCTCGACGACGGTCGCCTCGTCCGGGACCGGGAGCGCGCCGCCGTCCGCGGCGTCTAACGCCGCGAGGTGCGCGCGCAGGCGATCGCGCCGCTCGCCGGGTCCCTCCGCGAAGAGCGTCATGGGCTCGCCGAGCTCTCGGAGCTGCTTCCGCACCTCTCGGTCGTCCGTCGTCACCGCGACCGCGCGCTGGCGTCGGCGGTTTTCGAACTCGCGGAGGAGCGCTTCTTGGCGCGTGCGCGTCTCCTCGCTCCCCGCGGAGAGCGCGAATCGCTCGCCCGCCTCGGCGAGATTCGCGAGGTGGACGTTGCCCTTCGCGACGCCCTCCGCCATCGCGTCCGCGTCGTGCGCGGCGCCGAGCTCGCCGAAGTGGACGACGTCGGGGATCTCGTCCGCGGTGCGCGGGATGACGACGCCGTCCTCATCCTCCTCGTCCATGCTCGCGTGAGGGAGGGGGGGCCCCGCGCCGTTCGAACTGCGCGCGCGATCATCGCGCCCTAATCCGCAGAAGACCCTCTCAGGTACTGGCGCGCGGCGCGGCGAAGCGGCGACGAAACTGAGCACCTAATCATCTCCCGCGCCCGTTCCACATCTTGTCTCCATACCGAGGCCGCGCGCGCACGTCGCCGTCGCCGTCGTCGCGCGGAATGCTCTCGCGCGCTCGCGCCGCTCCGGCGGCGCGACATCATCACGTCTCCTCCCGTCTCGCGTCGTCGTCGTCGTCGCGCGTCGTCGTCGCGCCGCGCGCGCCCCTCCTCCGCGGACGCTCGACTCCTTTTTCGCGAGCCGCTCGCGTCGGCAAGATCTACACCGCGTCGTCCTCCGTGACGGAGGCGTCCACGAGGACGGTCGTGCACGTCGAGACCGCGACCGAGCTGGAAGACATCATCGCGTCGTGCGCGCGCGAGAAGCGGAAGTGCGTCGTGAACGTCTCCACGAGCAAGTGCGGGCCGTGCAAGATGCTCCTTCCCACGCTCGAGAAGTACGCGCGCGAGCACGGCGATTCCGCGACGTTCGTGAAGTTTCACAGCGACGAGGGCGAGGACCTGAAGAGGGTGGCGTCCGAGTGGGCGGTGCAGCAGGTTCCGACGTACAGGCTCATCAGGGAGGACGGGGAGACGCACGCGCAGTTCACGACCGGGAAGCCGGACTCGCTGGGGGGAAAGCTGTACTTGTTTCTCACGTGACGACGACCGGTCGGAGCGCGACGGCCGGACGCCGCCGCGGCGCGGAACCCGAGGGGTGTTTTATTGCTTCTCGTGTTGTATTTTACTCGTATCTTTACTCGTCGCGTCTCATCACTCGCGACTATCGTCGCTCCCTCCCCGTCGTGCGTTTAAAAGTCCGGCGGCGTGTCGCCGAAGCTCAGCGGGTTCTCCTTCAGCCACGCTTCCGTCGCGTTGAACGCGTCCATGACGAGCTTGCCTCTCGCCTCGTGCGGCGCGAAGCCTCGCTCGTCCGGCGACGGCGCCGCCGCCGCGCCGGCGGCGGTCTTCTTCTCGCCGTCCTCCCCGAGCGTGCCATTCACGTCCTCGAGCCACGCGGACGTGCGCGCGATTGCCTCCTCGACGGTCTCGGGCGGCGGCGTCTCCGGGATCGCGCCGCCGCGCGCCGCGGCGTTCGTCGGCTTCGACGCCGTCGTCCCGTCGTCGTCGCCGCCGCCGCCGCCGTCGTCGTCGCCGTCGCCGCCGTCGCCGCCCACGGGCTGCACGACGGCGTCCGCGAGCGCGCCGCGAGGGATGTCCACCGGCGGCGGCGCCTTCACGCGCTCCCTCAGCGGGCTCCTCGGGTCGCTCTTCGCGCTGGACGCGCCGGGTGATCTCATCGGCGATCGCTCGGCCGAAGCGTTTCCGTTTCCGTTTCCGTTTTCGTTTTCATCCCCGCCCGCCCCCCCGCGCGGCGGCGTGGACGGACACTCGCCGCTGATCATCGCGCTCATGCGCGCCACCTTCGAGATCTCCGCCTCGACGCGCAGCGCGTTTAACCTCCGGATCTCTTCCCGCTCGCGGCGCTGCGTCGGCGTCAATATCGCCCACCGTCGAAAGTCCACCGCGGCGGCGACGTAATCGATCCACGCCATCGGGTTCCGCGTCCGCACGACGACCGTCTCGCCTCGCCCGGACAAAACTTTCGCGTGTTCGCCGTCCCTCGACAACTCCAATATCGTCCTGTCGTGGTACTTCACCCGGCACCGCCCGTCTTTGTACAGCGTGAAGTCGCCCTTCCCCTCCCCGCTCGTGTGCTCCGCGACGTCCGCGTCGTGCGCCGAAAACGGATCCTCGTCGGAGTCGTCCTCCTCCTCAGGGCCGTTCCATACGAGCGAACGTCGGGGTGGAGTTGAAAGGCGTCAGTCGGAGTTGAAAGGCGTCGAGGGCGGGGATTGAAAGCGAGGTGTGGGCGGAGAGACACGCCGGGAAAAGTCCTTAAGGATCGGCGTTCACCACGCCAACGTGGTCGTATGGGAACCAGTGTATAGAACGCACCTCATCGTCCCCCGCGAGCGGCGGATCCCCCGCGTGCGCGTACTCCTTATCGAACAGCGTCGGGACGCGCTTCGCGCGCGGGGGCATCTGCTCCGCCGCCGCGGCGCGGAGCGCGAACGCCTTCTTCGCGTGCACCGCGAGCGCGACGCGGCCGACGTCCGCCGACGCGGCTTCCCCCGGCGGCGGCGGCGCGCCTCTCCGAAACGTCCTCTCCGGGACCGCGTCCGACGCGTACATCGACGCCGCCGTCGCGCCGTTCTCGACGTCCGGGACGTGCAGGATCGCGCGGCCGTTCTCCGTGGTCACGAGCGCGTCGCCGTCCGCGTCGGCGAGCAGCGCGACGACCTCCGCGGGGGAGGCATCGTCGTCGTCGTCGTCGAAACCCGCCGTCGCCGCGCCGCGCTCGGACCAACACGCGCCCCCACCAGTCGATTTCGATTTCGGTTTCGATCCGCCGCCGCGCTCACGCTCGCGCGCGGCGGCCAACCGCGTGCCGCCCTTCAACACCGCGAAGCACGTCGCCCCCGGCGTGCGCTCCGTCGTCGGCCGCAGCCCGACGCCGCCTCGGCCGACTTTACTCAGGTCCGGGTATCCCGTCGTCGCGCTCGACGCCCACCACGGGTCCGCGCGTTCGTTCACCCAAAGCGACAGACCGCCGGTGGCGGCGTTCGCGCCGAACGCGGACGTGGACGACTTCGGGAGGTAGGAGGACACCCCGGACGCGAGCTCGGTCTGGATCGCCCTCGCGGTCTCCGCCTCGCTCGGTCTCTTCTTCTTCTTCGTCGACGTCGCCGCGTCGTCGTCGTCGCCGTCGTGACTGGTCCCCATACGACCGCGTTCGCGTGGTGAACGCCGTTCCTTAAGGACTTCGCCGTCGCCGGCGGTTTCTTCCTCCTTCTCCTCCTTATCCTCCTCCTTCTCTTCCTCCTCGTCCACCTTCTGCCCGCCGCCGTAGATGTACTCCGTGAGCAGCGACACCGGGTGCGCCCATCGCTTCGGGCACGCGTCCGCGGCGAACGTGTGCGTCGTCCACATGTAGTCGTGCGTCGCGCGCACGCCGGGGCCGTACCCGTCGTCGTCGGCGGGAATCTTCGATCTCGACCTCGACCTCGACCTCGACGCGTCGTCGCCGTCGCCGTCGTCGTCGTCGTCGTCGTCCTCGTCGAGGTGCTTCGCGAACGCGCACGGATACGTCACGTGCGCGATCAGCCCGTGCGCGGAGAGGACGACGCGCGCGACGCCGTCCGTGCTCTCGAGCGCGGCGCCGCCGCCTTCCAGCGCGCTCAGCGAGCCGCCGGCTCGGGCGTCTTTCAACGTGCCGCTCCAACGCGCCAACTCGATCCTGCGCGCGCAGCGGAACGTCTTCGCGTCGTCGTCGTCGTCGTCGCCGCCGTCGTCGCGCCGCTCGCCCGCGCGAATCACGCGGGGGCGCGGGTTCGTCACGCACGGCGGGAGATGCGGCACGTCCGCGTGCGCGTTCCTGAACTCGAGCGCGTCGCGCAGCTTCGCCGCGTGCTTGCTCGTGACGAAACGCGACAGCTGCCGGACGCCCGCGCCTGTCGGGGTGGGGTTCATAGGCGTCAGATGGAGTTGAAAGGCGTCGAGGGCGGGTATTGAAACCAGCGAGGTATGGGCGGAGAGAAACGCCGGGTGAAGTCCTTAAGGATCGGCGTTCACCACGCCGACGCGGTCGTATGGGGACCAGTGTGAGATAGAACGCACCTTGCGCGGGATCGCCCGGCGCGTGGATCGTCACCGCCGCGCCGGTCGGGTCCAAGCACAACACCACGTTGTCCTTGAACACCGCCTTGACGCTGCCGTCGCTGAGGACGACGCCGCGGATCATGTTCGGGAGCGGCGGCGCGAGCGCGACGTGCGGCGCGGGCGGATGCGCGCGCCATCCCGCGATCGGGTCGTCGTCGGACGCGCGCGCGATGTGGTGCTGGTTGTATCGAAACACGAGGCGCCGCGACGCGGGGGGGGGGATGTTCGCCGGGTCCAGCGGCGGTGGCGCGACGTCGCGCGCGTCGTCGTCGTCGCCGTCGTCGCTCATCGCGACGAACGATGGGGCGATGCGCGCGAGCGCGGCGGCGTACTGCGGCGACGGTGGCGCGAAGAAGGATGTTTCTTTGAATTTTTTTTGGCGCCAGTTCTATTTTTTCACAGGAGAGTGTGCGTTTTTCACCCACCCTCAGTTTCAATATTTGATCGCGTCCCCTTTCGACTGACCGATGAACCGTAATAACGCCAACGCGTTGTTAGCCGGTCGCCGGCTCTCGCGACCCGCGCGCTCCTCGCGCGTAACGTGACGACGTCACCTCTCGTCCGCCTCGTCCAGCCGCGCGTACGCCCCCCCTCCCGACGCCCCGCTCCCCAAACTCGCCTCGATCTCCTCCAGGCTCTTCCCTTTCGTCTCCGGCAGGTACCGAAACGTAAACGCGAAGTGCGTCGCGCTGACGCCCGAGAAGAACAAAAACGCGCCGCCGACGCCGACGAAATCCGACAGCGATAAGAACGTCATCGCGACCGTGCCGCTCGTGAGCCGGTTCACCGCCATGCTCACCGCGGTGCCTTTCGCTCGGTGCTCGAGCGGGAAGATCTCGGACACGACGACCCACGTGACCGGGCCCATGCCAAGCGAGAAGGACGCCATGAAAGCGCACAACGCGAAAAGCGTCACGCCCGCGTCGACGCCGCCGCCCGCGAGCTCGCCCAGACAGAACGCGAGGGTGATCAGACACGCGGTCACGGCGACGATGGAGCTCAGGAGCATCGGTCGTCGTCCTTGCGCGTCCACGAGCTGTTGGCCGATGACGACGAACACGGTCTTGCAGACGCCGACGAGCGCGGCGGCTTGGAGCTGCGAAGAACAGAACGCGTTTCATCCGTCGTCAGTCGTGACGGAACGCGGTCGCGCGTGACGTCGAAACCGAGGGACGGGCGGGTGAAAAACGAAACGAAACAGTCGGTCACGACGCGCACCCACCTGCGCGTGTTCGGACGCGACGCCCGCGGCGGCGAGCACCTGCGGGACGTAGTACACCGCCGCCTCGGATCCGTTCGCCTGTTGAAAAAAAGCGGTGCACGCGCCGATGCGCGTCGCCGTCCGCGCGGAACGGTCGCTCAGGAGGCTCTTCCACGCGGACGCGGGGCGCGGGCTGGCCCCGCCGCCGCCGACCGTTCGCGCGGGTTTACTCCGCGACCAGTCCCCGTCGTCGCCGCCGGAGCCGCCGCCGCCGCCGCCGCCGTTCGACCCGCCCTCGCCTCCGTCGTCGCGCCCCCCTCCCCCGCCTCCTCCTCCTCCTCCTCCCTTCGCGAGCGCAGCCTTGATCTCCATCAGCGCCGCGCTCGCCGCGTCCTCCTCGCACGTCGCCCGCAGCACCTCCCTCGCCTCGCGCTCTCTCCCCGCGCCCTCCTTCATGAGCCACCGCGGCGACTCAGGCAGCCCGGGCACCGCGAAGAAGACGACGATCGCCGTCGGCATCAACGGCAACAGCATGAGCCCGCGCCATCGCGGGGAGTCGTCCAACCCCTCCATCGCGAGGTTCGCGACGTACCCGACGCACAGCCCGACGTTGATGGAGATCTCGAAGCACGAGACGAGGACGCCGCGCCACGCCGGCGGGGATATCTCCGCGATGTACTGCGGGCAGACGGCGAATCCCAACCCGACGCCGACGCCGCACACGACTCTCCCGACGAAGATCTGCGCGAACGAGTACGACGCGGCGATGACGCACATCCCGACGGCGTAGAAACTGATCGCGACGACGACGCACTTGACCGCGCCGAGGCGGTCGTACGCGACGCCGCCGCCGAGCGCGCCCGCGGCGGAGACGAAGTTGAGGCATCCGACCGCGACCTCCGCCTCGACGTCGGAGAGGCCGCGGTCGCGCGTCATCGGTAACAGCGCGCCGGACATGACGCCGATGTCGTAGCCGAGCATCGCGGCGAAGACGCTCACGGTGAGCACGGACGTGATCGTGAGGCGCTTCAAGGGCGTCCGGCGATGAAGCGGATCGGGTTCGATCTCCAGCGCGCTCGAGGAGGAGGCGCCGACGACGACCTCGACGGCCGCGGAGGAGTTCGAGCGGCGATGCGCGGCCGCGGCGGCGGAGGAGGAGGAGGACGGCAGGAGCCCGCCATCGTCCCCGGAGCCCGCCGCGCTGGCGTCGTCGCGCAGGCTCCCCGTCGAGCCGCCGCGGTCGTGCCTGCGCATCGTCGGGATGGAGAAGGCACCGCGAAGCGACGCGCGGTCGTCGTCAGGTCCGCGGGCGGATTTTTTTTGGCGCGAACGAGCGAGATTTTTCTCTGCTTAAGTAATGGCGCCGCCCTCATCGGGACGCCTCCCGCGCGCTTTACGTCTATCATGTGATACGAATCGTCGCGAGGTTTCGTTTCTCACGTCGTATCACAACCACCATCTCATCGTTCACATCGCGCGCACACGACGCTCTGCGCGCTCTTCCCCACCTCCCACCCTCCCCTCTCTCACGCCGAGGCGCGCGCGCCCGCTTTCACCGCCGACGCGTAGTCGGCGCCGTCTTCCTTTTTCTCGTCGACACCCAACGGCATCAACGACCCGACCAGCCGTAAGATGTCGATCGGCGTCGCGATCATGACCGGCGACCCGTCCTCGCCTCTGACGTACACGTGATGCACGAGCTGCGTCGCCATCGCGGCGATCACGTCCCCGACCGTCGCGTCCGCGCCGTTCACGGCGACGACGCGGAGCGGCGAGGTGGGCGTTTGGCCGCCGCCGCCGCCGTTCTTCTGATCAGGCGAACGTCGGGGTGGAGTTGAAAGGCGTCGGTAGGAGTTGAAAGGCGTCGAGGGCGGGGATCGAAACCGAGGGGTGGGCGGATTTATGCGCCGGGCGAAGTCCTTAAGAAACGGCGTTCACCACGCCAACGCGGTCGTATGGGAACCAGGGTATGGGACGCACTTCTCGGCGGCGGCGGCGGAGGTAGTCCACCACGGGCGACGCGAGTTGGTCGACGTCGTCGGGTTTGATCCCTCGCAGGTCGCTCACAGAAACGTTCGCGACGATGGCGTTAGTATCGTCCACGATCGCCAGCGCGGAGACGTTATGGCGGTACATCCCGTAGAACGCGTCGAGCGCGGACGTGTACCGCTCGCGGACGCTCAGGGTCGTTCCATACGAGCGAACGTCGGGGTGGAGTTCAAAGGCGTCAGATGGCGTTGAAAGGCGCCGAGGGCGGGGATTGAAACCGAGGGGTGGGCGGAGAGATGCGCCGGCAAAAGTCCTTAAGGAACGGCGTTCACCACGCCGACGCGGTCGTATGGGGACCAGTGTATAGAACGCACCTCAACACGCCACGAGACGTCTCCGGCGGCGTCGCCCGTTCCAGCGGTATCTTCATGAAGTCGCGAAGCTTCTCGTCGTCGCGGCGGTCGTGCAGGAACCGGATCACGTCGCTCTGGGACACGATCTCGAACGACGCGGGGTCGCACACTTTCCCTTCGTTCCCGAACGCGGGGTCCCAGTCGTACACGCCCACTCTGTGCGCGTTTTGCGAGACGAACGCGCCGTGGACGACCGAGAGGAGGTTGGCTTGCAGGAACCCTACGAACGCGCGACACGTGTCAGTGACGGAGGAGATGATTGGTGGAGGATATACATACGGAATATAAAGGCGACACGTGTACGAAGAAGCGAGCGCCGCGCACCTTTGTAAATGGTCTCGCCGTCGCCGCCGTCGACGTCGCCTCTGAACTCCACGCGAGCGGCTCGGAGCGTGCGCTTGAACATCCCCTCCCCGAGCGTCGACTGCAGGTTCCAGAGCACGTCCGCCTCGTCCTTCGCGCTGTACAGCTCGTCGCGCATCACCGCCGGGAGGATCCCGAGGGATTCTTTCACGGCGACCGGGCGCGACGGCCGCGGGTGGACGCCGAAGCGCTGCGTCGGGACCGACGCGGGCTTCTCCGTGCCGGTGCCGGCGCCGTCGAACTCGTCGTCGAGCCACCGCGCGCACGCGCGGACGAGGTACCCGAGGATCTCCGCGACGTCCACGAAGCCGTGGTATCTGCCGTCCTTGGACTTCTCGATGACCGGCGCGCTGAGGACGTCGTGGCGATGTAACGTGGAGAGGATGCTCCCGAGCGACGCGCCGGGGTCGACGCACGCGAGCGGTCTCGGCGCGCGGCGAGGGGAGGGCGCGCGCCGCCGCGCGTCGAGGTAGCGCGCGACGGTCCACTCCTCGAGGAATGAGCGCGCGCGCTCGAGCGCGGGGGCGTCGGTGGGAGAGGTCATGAGCGAGCGACGCGCGAGAGAGGAGGAGTGGCGCGCGGGCGAGGCGGCGGCGTCGTTGTGCGCGAAGGCGACGTCGGCGCCTTCCGAGGAAAGTTCCTTCTTCAGTTTTTGAACTGCTGCTGTCCTCGGGTATCGGGGCGACCGAAGACCTCCCCGCGCCACAACCACCCGCGCCGCCGCACGCCGCACGCCGCACGCAGCATTCGAGAACGCGATGAACCTCAGATCTAAGCTTCGTCGGGCCGAACCGTCCGCGCCCGATCTCGGCGACGACAGCGGCCGGGGCGCCGCAGCGCGCGTCGCAGAAGCTACGAGGACGGAGCTCGAGCGACTGAAGGAGGAGCTCGCCGCCGCGAAAGCGAAGAACGCGGAGTACGCGGAGATGTACCCGACTTTCAACGCGGACGAACACGTCGCGAGCGTGGTGTTCTCGCACGTGACGGACGTCCGAACGCGCGTCGCCCTCGCGCAGGTGAACACGGTGTGGCGCGCGGCTTCAAAAGTCGCGTCTTCGCTGCCAGCCTCGCTCGACTTCACGGGCTGCCCTGACGAGAAGATGGGCGAGGGCAAGTACAGCTGTTGGACCGCGAACTGCGCCTACGTCGTGGGGATCGAAGGCGTGCTTGATCTGCCCGAGACGCACTTTCACGGCCTCCTCGAACAGGCGGGGGCTGACTTCTCCCGCACAGCTGACCAGTGCAACCTCGGTGTTATCTACGACTGCGCGGAGCGTTACGACAAGGCGCTGGAGTGGTACATGAAGGGAGCGCGTCAAGGCTGCATGTTTTGTGAGAGTAACATCGGAATGATCTACAAACATGGCGACGGCGTGGAGAAAAACATCGACACGGCGCTGGAATGGTTCACAAAGTCGGCAGAGAAGGGCAATGCCATCGCACAAAACTCTGCCGGCCGCATCCTCTACGACGAGGGACAATACCAAGACGCGTTCAAGTGGTTCACGAAATCGGCCGCTCAAGGCTACACTTACGCTCAATCCAACCTCGCGAAGTGCTACGAGGACGGCAAAGGCGTGAAGAAGGGTTTAAGGTTTTAACCTCCGTCGTCTGGCAAACGCGATGCCGTGAACGACGCCGAACAACTAAACTGTGACGTCTGCAAGTCTGGTGATATAAATGTCGCCATCTAAGATAACCTAACCGCTACCCTCTCGCTCCTACCTATTCCGTTCGCTCGACGAGCGCGACGGCTTCCTCCCAAAACGCCTCGTCGTCGTCGATCGCGGGCGGCTCCCACGCCGCCTTCGGCGTCGCCGCGTCCGTCGCCGCCGCCGCCGCGGCCCAGAACCCGTCCTCGTCGTCGTCGTCGTCCGAGTCTATCCGAGGCGGCGCGTAGCCCTCGCCCTCTCCCTCTCCCTCGCCACCGCCGCCGAGCGATCGCAGCGCGACCGCCTCCCGCGCCAACTCCGACGGCAGCGCGCGATACCTCCCTCGGTACCCGCGACACTCCGGGTCGTGACACCGCTGGTAGTACGCCCCCTCGCGCAGGTCGATCGCGAACACGACGTTGTTGCTCTTGTGCGCGCGATCAACGTTTTCGCAAAACCGGTTCCCCTGCATGTTCAGCACGACGACGCCGTGGTCCGGGTACGCGGCCCACGTCCGCACCTCCGCGCCGGACGAGCCCGGGGCGGACCACGCGTCGAAGTCGCGACACACGAACGCGACGGTCTCGGGGCAAGGAAGATTCGCGGCGGGACCCCGGCGGGGGCGCGATTCGACGCCCGTCGTCGCGGAGGAAGAAGAAGACCGAACTGCGTGGGTGAAGCGATCGGTCAGTCGAACGTCTTACCGGTCAAACGTTGAAAGGGAAGCGCGGGTGAAGAGTGACGACGGGGAAAGTCCTTAAGGAACGGCGTTCACCACGCGAACGGGGTCGTATGGGAAGCAGTCTCACCTCTGCCGCCGCCGCCGCCGTATCCGCCAAATCCTCGCAGCACCCGGCCCGTGTACGCCGCCCCGCGCGTCCCGACGCCCTCGTACTCGATCACGCGCGCGGCGTCGGCGTCGTCGACGACGCTCGCGAGCGAGCCGCAGAACACGCCTCGGTCGGGCTCCGTCGCGGGGACGCTCTGACCCGCGCCGACGCGAAGCAGTCGATGCGTCGGCAGCAGACGCGTGCGCTTGGCGAATTTCGACGACAGGTAGACGCGGAACGCGCGGTTTCTCGTGTACACGCCCAAGTCCACGAACGGTGTCGCGGCGACCTCGTCGTCGATATCCTTGCGTACGAAGAGTAACGCACATCGAGGGTCGGTTTCGCGAGTCTCCGCGACGCGTTTCCACAGCCGACGGACGAAGTGCCCGACGTGCGCCGCGTTCGCGAACGCCGCGCCCGGGAGTTTGAACACCAAGTGTCTCGAGAACTTCGTGGCGCTCGTGGACTGGAGCTCGACGACGACGTCCGACGCTCGTAACGGCTCGCCATCTTCCGTTTTGATGCCCTCTTCCCGCGCGAGTTCCTCGAGCGTCAGAGAAATCAGAGCGTCCGTCGCGGCGCGGCCGTCGGCGTCGCTCACGCTCGGATTCGCGCGTTTCGAATACTCTAGGTCGTAGTACAGATGACACGCCCTGTCCGCGCGTATGAGCTCGTAGAAGTGCCGCTTATCCCACGCGACGTTCACGTACCTCGCCCAAAACGCATCGAGCGTGGACGCGATGAACTTTCGTCGGCCGCGATGCTCGGCGTCCTCAGCGGAGAAGTATCGCATCGCGTTCGCGTTCGATTTCGATTTCGAGTTCGAGTTCGAATCGTCGGCGGCACGCCCGGAGTGATTCGCGTCCCACTCGTCCCCCCACGCGAACGCGCACTCTTGCCGCCAGAACTCCTTATACGCCGGCTCCGGCTCGCCGCGTCGGGTGACGCGCGCGACGTGCGCGTCGCCGAGCGCGGCGCGTCTGGCGTCGCGCCGCGTCGTCGTCGTCATCGTCGTCTGTCCGCCGCCGCCGCCGCCGCGGGGCGAGTAGAACGCGCCGGTGGAGATGCGCGCGAGCGCGTCGACGAGCGACGCGCGGTCGTCGCGCGCGTCCTCGCGCGTCGTCGCCGCGCCGTCCTCCGCGCGGTGAGAAATCGTCCGCGGCGGAGGACGGAGGACGTTCGGGTCGTCGTTCTGCGTCGCGATCTCGTTCGCGATCGCCGCGCCGTCCGTCGTCGTCGTCGTCGTCGGCGGCGGCGGCGGCGGCGTCGGCGCGCGCGTCGGCTTGGCCGCTTCCGCGTGGTACTTCGCGACCGCCGGGTCCGCGATCACGCGGCGGAACCTGTCGAGCGCGCGCTCGACGCGGTCGTCCGCCGCGGCGCGCTTGACGCCGCCCATCTCGCCGTCGTTTCGACCGCGCGGCGTTCAAAAAACGTCGACGAGATCCTGTCCGTCGACGACGACGCTCCCGTCGGCGTCGGCGACGCGGCGCGGCGCTCGCGTTTCGTTCGCTCTACGACGCGCGCGTTCTTCGCGAGGCGCGCGTCGCGCCGCGCATCGTCGGCGTCGATATCGCGCCCGGTTCGCGCGCGCGCGGGTAGTGAAGAAGAGACGCGGAACCGCTCGCGCCACGGGCAGCATCTACTGTAGGCACGGCACTTCCGAGAACTGAACGATCGCGCTTCACTCGGGCGCGCGCGCACGTCCCCCGCGCCCGCGCGATGAAGCGTGCCTCCCTCGTCGCCGCGGCCGTCGCCGTCGTCGTCCTCACGACGATCGTCGCGAGCAGCACCCTTCCGCTCCCCAAGTTCCGCGCGCCCGACTTCCGCGCGCCCTCGAGAGTCGACACGATGACGCTCGTGACCACGCGCAGGGAGATCGCCGCGCTCCGCGACGAGGTCCGCGCGCTCTCCACCCTCGTCCGCGGCGAACAGGCGGCCGACGCCGACGCGGCGCCGCGACGAGAGGCGTCCACGGTCTTCCCGCCGACGCCGCCGCCGACGCCGACGCCGACGACGGCGCCGGGGGCGACGTGGCCGAAGAGCCGCTTCAAGCTCGGGTCGTCGCACGCGCAGTTCGGTCAAGATGAGTGGGTCCACCGGCGATACGACGGCAGGATACCGCCGACGTTCGTGGAGTTCGGCTGCCGCGACGGCGTCAAGCACAGCAACACGCACGCTCTGGAAGCGGCCGGGTGGAAAGGCCTCTGCGTGGAGGCCATCGAGAAGGTGCGGCCGGTGCGGAAGCGCGCGTACCAAGGCGCGATCTGCGCGCCCGAGGCGGCGGGTGAAAATGTCACGTTCACCAAGTCCGCGCTGCCGGGTTTGCACGGCGTGAAGGGCACGACGGACTTGTCGTTCTACGAGCCGAGGGCGCGGATAACGAAGGACGTGGTCGTGAAGTGCCTATCGCTGCCCGCGCTGCTGGACGAGAACAACATGACGCACGTCGGGTACATGACCGTGGACGTCGAAGGCGGGGAAATCGCGTTCGCGAAACACTTCGACTTCGACGCGTACCGCGTGGACGTGCTGCAGGTGGAGTGCCGCGGGCGCGAGGTGTGTCAGGAGACCAGGGACGTCGTCGAGGCGCTGGGGTTGTTCAGATTCGTGCACAGGTTCGAGCTGGGGATGGAATCTGGGGACTTGCTGTTCGAGAACGTGAGGTTGTAGGTTGCGCCGGCGCGGCACTAGACTACTATAGGATAGAGGAGGCGTTTTGTATAAACTGCTTCTAGTAGCTAGGGCTAATAACTTGCACACGGGGAACGCGCGCGCGCGCGCACGACGCGACGCGGCGCCGATGTCGTGCGCTGTAGACTACGCTATTGGCACTTCGCGTCCTCCGCGACGGCATCCGCCTGCGAGAGGGAAGGAGAGACGAAGAGACGAAGAAGAGGTGAGTCGACCGATGGAGGCGCGCGGGCGCCGCGTCGCTTCGCGCGCGCCGTGCCCATCAGAATAACGTATATATAGAAACAATCACAGAAGTTCATCGCAGATCTTGATTGTTCTCTTCATCGGACGACGGCGCGCGAAAAAAGAAAAAGACGCGAATCCGACCGACGGACGGACGCCGCCGCGCCGCGAGCGAACGAGCGACCGGAGAGACCGATGTCGCGGACAGTTATGGATGGAACCGCAACGCCCGAGGGATGCGGAAACACATGGAAGATGTCGCACAAATCTCGCGCCAGAGAACGCGGAGACTTCGCCACGCGGACGTAGCCCCGGTAGTTCATTTCTCTATCGCAGATTGGTCTCTCCGACCGGCGTCGTTGACGGCGCGGCGCCGTTAAAAAAAACCAAAACCAAACCAAACCAAACCGCGAGTGTAGCGCGCATAATTCTCCTCTCCCCATACGACGAGAGAGCAGACTCAAAGTACGCCGACGGTCGATCTTCGCCGCAAAGTTAGGCACTCCACGTTCACGCGAGCCGCCGACATTCCGAGGAACGTCTTTGCCTCGAACGCAGAGGGAAGATGAATACGCGGCGCGAGCGAGAAAAAAAAAAACAGTCGAACCTCGCGTCTCCGCGCGCCTCAGATTCTAAAGTGATATCGCCGCACAAGTAATTACTCAAGCGCTCATTTGACACGCATGAATGATATTGTGAAGGTGTCATCTCTGGCGAAGAAGACGCGGGATCGAGAACCGAGAGTGTGTGGGACGCGCATCAGGTCCGAGCGTCAGCCGGAAAACCCGTCGGCTCGAACAGACATGGCGTTCGTCGTTTTGCGCAGCGCTAAGTCACGAGGGCACCTGTCGCGCATAACTACACCAGGTTTGACGGCCCGGCGGGTCTCCCCACGAGTTATGCATTCGCCTCCGCCGGCTTTAGCTGCGGAGAGAGAAGACGAGGAAGAAGACTCCGACGGACGGACGGACGGACGGGCGGACTGACGAGGGCGACGAACGAAGAACGAATCGAAATCGAAGTCCGAACAGGCGTCGGCGTCGGCGGCGGCGGCGCGCGCGTGTCCGTCAAGGCTGAAAGTGGTCCACACCGAGATTCAGATTCGTCATCTAATTTGGTACTGGTGTCTTCATCCACGCGCGCGTCGTCGTCGCCGGTCGTCGTCGCCGGTCGTCGTTTTCTCGTTCGGTTCGTTCGTTCGTTCGCTCGCTCGTTGTTTCGGTCGGGCTCGGGCTCGGGCTCGGGTCCGATCGATCGACGAGATAGATGCGCCGATCGACCGGCGGGTCGCTTCGGAGAAAAGCTCAGTGGTTTGCGTATTGAGTTCATCGAACGACGAGGCTCTCAAACAAGAGGTGTCAGAAAAACAGTATACAAGATCATCATCGCCTTTCTCCGAAGCGCGCGCGAGCGACCGGGGGGGGGGGTCGGAGGCGGGGGTTGACCTAAAAGCCCGCCGCACCTTCGATGAACGAATGAATCGCCGGGAGGAGATCTTCGCTCCGCGCCGCGATCGAGCCGCCGCCCGCGCGTCGTCGCGCGGCCGCCGCGGGCGATCGGAGCGTCGCTCTAGGACGCGCCAGGTCGCGCGCCGCTCGAAGCCTCGCGCGCGGACGACATCGCCGCCGCGTGTTGTGAGGCGCCGTCGCGACGAGATCAAATCGGCACTCAGTTTTCACTGCCGCGCCGCGCCGCGATTTCGGCGGCTGCCATTCCCTCCGACACGAGATTCGCGCTGAGGCACGCGCGCGTCGACCATGGGCACGTCCGGCATGTCCCCGGAGGAGCTCGCCGCGCTGCGAGCGCGGAAGAAGAAGATCAAGAACGCGGCGAAGAAGCGCGAGCGCGAGGAAGCGGACGACGGCGACGGCCTCTCCGCGAAGGAGCGCAAGGCTATGCGAAAGATTAAGAAGAAGCGCGAGGAAAAAGCAGCCGCCGCCGCCGCCGCCGCCGCGAAGGAGGCCGCGAGCGAGGACGACGCCGAGGACGACGACGCCGGCGCGAACGACGACGACGACGACGACGACGACGACGACGAAGCCGCCGCGCGCGAGCGAACGGAACCCGCGGCGACCGCGGACGTCGTCCAGGTGGACGGTATCCTCAGCGACAAGACGTTCGCGTCGCTCTCGCTCTCGAAGCCCACGATGGCGGGCATCGCGACGATGGGGTACGAGACGATGACCGAAGTCCAAGCGCGGACGATCCCGCCTTTACTCGCGGGGAGGGACGTCCTGGGCGCCGCGCGAACGGGCTCGGGGAAGACGCTCGCATTCCTCGTCCCGAGCGTCGAGCTGCTGTACCACGCGAAATTCATGCCGCGAAACGGCGCCGGGGTGATGATCCTCACGCCGACGCGAGGTGCGTTCTATACACTGGTTCCCATACGACCGCGTTCACGTGGTGAACGCCGATCCTTAAGGACTTTGCCCGGCGTCTCTCTCCGCCCACCCCTCCCTTTCAATCACCGCCATCGACGCCTTTCAACTCCAACTGACGCCTTTGAACTCCACCCCGACATTCGCTCGTATGGAACGACCCCGAGAGCTCGCGCTGCAGATTTACAACGTCACGCAGCAGCTCATGACGAAACACTCGCAGACGCACGGGCTGATCATCGGCGGCGCGAACCGCCGCGCGGAGGCGGAGAAGCTCGTCAAGGGCGTCAACTTGCTCGTCGCGACGCCCGGGCGGCTTCTCGATCACATGCAAAACACGAAGGGGTTCACGTTTTCGTCGCTGAAGATCTTCTGCATGGACGAGGCGGATCGGATGCTCGACATCGGGTTCGAGGAAGAGATGCGGACGATCGTGAAGATGATCCCGAAGGACCGACAGACGATGCTCTTCTCCGCGACGCAGACGACCAAGGTGGAGGACCTGGCGCGTCTGTCGTTGAAGTCCCCCACGTACATCGGCGTCGACGACGCGCGCGCGGTGTCCACGGCGACGGGCGTCGAGCAGGGCTACTGCGTCGTCCCGAGCGAGAAGCGGTTTCTTCTTCTGTTTACGTTCCTGAAGAAGAACCTGAAGAAGAAGGTGATGGTGTTCTTCTCGTCGTGCAACAGCGTGAAGTACCACGCGGAGCTTTTGAATTACATCGACATCCCGGTGAGCGACATTCACGGGAAGCAGAAGCAGCAACGGCGGACGACGACGTTTTTCGAGTTTTGCAAAGCCGAGCGCGGCGTGCTCCTGTGCACGGACGTCGCCGCGAGAGGGCTGGACATCCCGGACGTGGACTGGATCATCCAGTTCGACCCCCCGGACGACCCGAAGGAATACATTCACAGGGTGGGGCGAACCGCGCGCGGGACGGACGGCCGCGGGCGCGCGTTGTTGTTTCTCATACCGGAGGAGCTCGCGTTTCTCAAGTACCTCAAAGCCGCGAAAGTCCCGCTCAACGAGTACGAGTTCCCGAACAAAAAAATCGCCAACGTGCAGTCGCAGCTCGAGAAGCTCGTGGAGAAGAACTACTACCTGCACCAGAGCGCGCGCGACGCGTACAGGGCGTACATACTCGCGTACAACTCGCACACGCTGAAGGACGTCTACAACGTCCACGAGCTCAACTTGGCGCAGGTGGCGACGTCGTTCGGGTTCCACCGCCCGCCCAAGGTGCAGCTCAACTTGGACAGCAAGGCGGCGAACGGGAGGAAGCGGATCGGCGGCGGCGACGGGAGCCGCGGGCGCGGGACGGGAGGCGGCGGGAGCGATTACCGGCGCCAAAAGGGCACCGGGCACGGGTTTAGCGCGGAGAATCCGTACGGGAAGAAAAAGGACGGCGACACGCGGCAGTTCGTTCGAGGATAGACGGGAAGAAGAGAGGGATCAGGGTGGGAGCGACGCGCGGCGCGACGACCGTCCGGTCCGTCCGTCGCGCGTTTGTTGTAGTAGTATCTTACTTACCGCGCGATGAAGACAGACGCGCGAAGACGTCGCGAATCGTTCGTTTCCCGCGCCGCGCCGCGGCGGCGAAGGTATCTTATTACAATCGAGTCGAGGAGGACGCCCGGACGCGGACGTCCCCTCTCGTCTCGCCGCGCCGATCGGAACGTTCGCGCGCCCATCTCCTCACGCGTTCTTGGACATCGGGTTCAGCTCGATCGGTCGGTCCGGCGCGCCCTCGCGGTCCCACCCCGTTCGCATCTTCCTCGCCGTCTCGGGGTACCAGTCCTTGTTCGTCATCGTGTGCGGGAGCTTGCCTGATCGACGGACGCGCGCGAGAGGGGGAGGAGAAAGACGCGCGCGCGCGTGTGAGGGGGGGAAGCGTCAGGCGACGGCGACGGCGGACGAGAGGATGGACGGACGGAGGGACGCGCGTTGGGATCGGCGGCGATCGACGAGCCGGGAGACGACGACGCCGTCGCGACGAACGTTCGACGCGCCGCGCGAATCCGCGCGCGCCGCGAGCGGACCCGCGCGGCGCGGTCGATCGCGCCTCGTCGCGTTCTAGAGCTAGGGTTGATCGTTTCGCGTTCGTCGCGCGCGCACCTCCGAAGGGCATGTTCAGGGAGAGGAACTGCGTGCACGCGCCGGCCGCGGCGAACCCGATGGCGAGACTGACCATGATCTTTCCGCCCGTGGGCTTGAGCGGGGGTAGGTTAGGTAACGTCATCGTCGCGTCGCGCGCTCGCGGAGTGCCTCCGCGGCGACGCCTCTTTCGTCAATCTGGGCCGACTGGCCGAGCTAGCGCGCCGCCCCGACCGCGCCGCGACCGCGCGAGACTGGACGTTCAAATCTCGCTTCGCTACGTCTGTCAGAAGCGAGCGCCCGCGCGCGCCGTCGCACGCGAGAGACGCGACGGCGGCGCGAGAGGGGCGAGCGCGGAGCAGGCGCGCGGGGAAGAGCGCGTCATGGCGGGAGAACAGGTGCGAATGCCGCGAGCTATCGACGACGTCGCCGCGGCGACGGAGCGGGCACCCTCGCGATCTGACATTTATTTTCCCCGAAACCAAACACCCGGAGGGTGCCATCTCGCGTCGTCGTCGTCGTCGTCTCCCGTCGCTGACGCCATCGCATCCCCGTTACCACCCGCTCGCCATCCCACGACAGAACGGCGGCGCGTCCGCGATGGACCTCCTCCGCGTCGGTCGTCGCGGTCAGAAGCAAGCGACCGCGGCGCGGAACGAGAACTCGATCGATCCGACGACGACGACGACGACGACGACGACGACGACGAGCGCCTCTCGCGCGTTCGCGCGCCCGACGAACAAGCGCCCGCGCGGCGCGGTGGACGACCCCGCGTTCGACGACGACACGCTCCCGGACGGGTACCCGCTCTCCCAGATCGGCGACGAGAGCGAGCGCGCGGATGCGAGCGTGGGATGGAGAAGCGCGTCGCCGCCTAGGTACGGCGGCGGCGGCGGCGGCGGCGGCGGGCCGTCGTCCGACCCCGGGCCGTCCACCGCGAGCACGGTGAACGGCGGGAAGGTGGTCGTGAACCAGCTGCTAGCGCTCGGGCGGAGCAACGCCGCGGCGGTGCAGCAGGCGAAGGCGCGGAGCGAGCGCGAGCGCGAGTTTGGGTTGGGGACGTGGGTCACGGACGGCGGCGGCGGCGCGGACGCGGACGCGCCGCCCCCGCCGCCGAGCGTGGACCCCGCGGAGCTCCTCGCGGACTGCCGCGCGATCGACGCCGCGTCCGGGTCGCTGGGCGGGACGCCGTGGAAGTTCACGCAGTGCGAACTCGGCGTCGGCGCGCCGGGGGACGGCACCCCCGGGTCCTCCTTCGGACGACGCAGCGCGGGCGCGCCGACGCCGGGGTCGGCGGGCGCGAGCAGTGGCGGTGGCGGTGGCGGTAACGGCGGCGAGGGCGGCGCGCGGTCGAGCGGAGCGACCGCGGCGAAACGCTCGGGACTGAGCCGTTCGTCCGTGGAAGCGAGGAACATCTCCGAGCGGTTGAACGAGACCGAGGACGCCGCCCCGAGCGGCGGCGGCGCGGGGGACGACGACGACGCGACGCAGGCTGCGGACGCGGCGCCGGCGGCGCCTCAGCCGCCGCGGGACGCGTTCGCGATCGACGACGACGCGTTCGACGACGGGTTTGACTTCGCCGCGGCGGCGGCGGAGACGGAGCGGCTCATGGCGGCGGGCGGGGGCGCGGCGGCGACGACGACGGCGGCGGCGGAGCCTCCCGAGCTTCCTCGCCGGGACCCGGCCCCGGCCCCGGCGGCCCCTCCTTCCGACGCCGCGGTCGCCGCGATGAGAGCGGAGGCGAGGGCTGCCGCGCGCGAGGAGGCGATGGACGCCGAAGCCGCGGCGTTGGGGGCGTACCGCGTGGTATCCTCCGCGCGCGCCGCCGACGGCGCGCTCGAAGTCGTCGTCCGCGTCTGCGGCGGCGGCGGTGGCGGCGGGACGAAGACGCTGCGTCTGCACGACATGTGGGCGGAGACGTGCGTCCGCGCCGGCGATCTCGTGCGCGTCGTCGCCGGAGGGTCGTCCGCGAGCGGCGGCGGCGCGAGCCAGCCCGGTTCGGAGTGCGGCGAGGACGTCGTCGACGTCCGAGGCGGCGGCGGCGGCGTCGGGAAAGTGCTCATCCACCACCCTCAGGTCCTCGTCTCGTCCACCGCTGTCGGCGGCAGCATGCAGTGCCTTCGACGGACGATCCTTCAGACCACGGTCCCGGACGGCGGCGGCGGCGATCACTCCGCGGCCGCGATGCTGGGGACCTTGTCGCACGAGCTCTCCGAGGCGTCGCTGGAGGCGGCGTGGAGCGACTCGGGACCGGGCGCGAAGGGTTTCTTCAAACACTCCGCCGCGCTCGTGGACGCGTCGAGCGCGCGACTCTTCGGCGCGGGCGTCACGGAGAAAGAAGCCCTCGATCGACTGCGGTACGTCGGCCCGGGCGTGCACAAGTGGACGCGGCAGCTCGTGCGGCCGGCGTTGAAGAAATCGAACCAGCCGGCGTCAACAGTCGCCGGCGTGGCGTGCAAGGTTTTGAACGGTCCGGGCCGCGCGTCGAGGGGCGTCGTCAGCGCGCTGAGGGTCGTCACCGCGGAGGAGACCGTCTGGGCGCCGCGGTTGGGGTTGAAGGGTGTCGTCGACGCGGTCGCGGTCGGGAAGCTCGACGAGAGCGGCGGCGACAGCGGCGGCGGCGGAGGAGGAGGAGGAGGAGGAGGAGGAGGAGGAGGAGGAGGAGGAAAGAAAAACGTCGTCACGACGGGGATGGTCCCCGTCGAGCTCAAGACCGGGTACTGGCGCGACGCCGTCGAGCACGGCGCGCAGCTGACGCTGTACACGCTCATGCTCGGCGACAGGTACAAACAGAGGGTGCCGTTCGGGGTGTTACACTACACGAGGCACCCGGGCGGGGGCGAGAAGATGAAGAAGGACGACGAGACGACGGCGATCAAGCCGCAGCCGGCGGACCTCGCGCACTTGATGCACAGGCGGAACGCGATCGCGGCGGCGTTGGTGCATCGCGACGACGCCATCACGAACGCCGCGGACGCCGCCGCCGACGCGTCCGCGTCCATCGGGATCGCGTTCGCGAACGGCGCGCTGCCTCCGATCGAGCAGTGCAGGAGCGAGTGCGAGCGGTGTTTCGTGAAGGAGAACTGCATGGCCGTCAACGCCGCGCTCGAGGGGGGCGCGCGCGCGATTCGCGACGACGGCGTCGCCGCTTTGTCGAGAGAGATGACCGGGCACCTCACGGACACGCACGCGCGCGCGCTCGCGAAGTGGCTGCGGCTGATCGACATGGAAGCCGCGGAGGGCGCGACGCGACGCGCGACGCCGTGGATGCGCGTCGACGACGTGACCAAACGCGGCGGATTCGCGCTCGACGGATTGACGCTGGTGGACGCGCGCAGGCACGACGCGCCGATCCCGGAGGACGGCGAGGCGCCGGGGGCGGAGGCGGACCTGACGCCGTCGATGGAGAAGCTCGCGTACCGGCTCGCGCTACTCGGGGAGAAGAACGGCGACGGGGGGGGGAGCGGCCTCGCGAACGGCGGCGTGGACCGTTTACGAGATGGCGACAGGCTCGTGCTGTCGCGCAAAAGCGGCGAGATCGTCGTGTGCCGCGTCATACTGAAAGCGATTCACTTACCGGGCGGCGGCGAAGAGGGCGTCGCCGTCGACGTCGCGATGGAGCGAAAACTCAGGTTCGACGGTCCCGGCGGCGCGAGCGCGGACGAGCTCTGGCGGATCGACAGAGACGACAGCGGTGGGACGATGTCCGGGCGCGCGCGAGCCGCCGCCATCGCCGCGTTTTCATCCGCGGACGAGCGGTCGACGGCGCTCCGCAGGCGACTCTTCGACCTCGAGACCCCGGTCTTCGACGCGTCGCGCGCGGAGCGGGCGCTGTCGAGCGTGTCCCCCGCGACGCACGCGGCGCTCGAGCGCCTTAACGACGAGCAGCGGCACGCGGTGACGCACGCGTTGAGCGCGAAAGACTACGCGCTCGTCGTCGGCTTTCCGGGGTCGGGGAAATCCGCGACGCTCGCCGCGCTCGTGCGCGCGCTCGTGGACCTCGGGAAGAGCGTTCTCATAACTTCGCACACGCACAACGCGGTGGATAACATCCTGGAGCGGCTCCCGAGCGTGGGCGTGGAGTCGTTTCTGCGCGTCGGCGGCGAGGACGGCAAGGCATCCCCCGCGGTGGCGCCGTATTGCCCCGGCGGATCGAAGCACCGCGCCGAGACGACGAAGGATTTACAACGGCTCGCGAACGAGAGTCTCGTCGTCGGCGCGACGTGTTACGCGGTCGCGAACAACCCGCTCATCGCTCGGCGCGAGTGTCGTCGAGCGGGATCGTCGTCCGTCGGACGCTTCGACGTCGTGCTCGTCGACGAAGCCGGGCAGATGACGCTTCCGTCCGCGTTGCCGCCGTTGCTGCGCGCGGAGACATTCGTCCTCGTCGGCGACCCGAAGCAGCTCCCGCCGCTCGTGCGCTCGCCGCGCGCGGACGAGGAAGGCCTCGGGGTCTCCCCGCTCGCGCTGTTGTCCGCCGCGCACCCGAGCGCGGTGATCACGTTATCGAAGCAGTACCGCATGAACGACGATCTCGCGAAGATTCCAAACGTCATCACCTACGAGGGCGCGCTGCGCGCGGCGAACGACGACGTCGCGCGCCGCGTCGCGTCGCTGCCGCTGCCGCCGCCGCCGGGGATGCCGGGGTGGCTGTTGCGCGCGACGGACCCGGAGTGCCGCGTCGTCATGCTCGACACGACGGATCTGGGCGCGGACGCGCACGAGCGCGAGGGCGGAGGAAAGCCGACGAACGCGTTCGAACGCGCCGTCGTGCTCGACGTCTTGCGCGGGTTACTGCGACGCGGCGCGTCCCCGAGCGAGGTCTACGTGTTGTCGCCGTACAACGGCCAGGTCGACGCGCTCGCGAAGGACCTCAGCGACGCCACCGCCGCCGCGAGCGCGGGGGGTGCCGACGACGACGACGGCGTCGACGCGGCGCTATCGACGATTGAAGCGTTGACCATCGACCGCGCGCAAGGGCGCGACGTCGACGTCGTCGTCGTGTCCTTCGCGCGCGCCAACGAACGACGCGACCCCGGGTCGCTTCTCGCGGACGCGCGGCGTCTGAACGTCGCGCTGACGCGCGCGCGAGGGAAGCTCGTGCTCGTGGGGTGCGGTCGCACGCTCGTCAAGTCGCCGGTGTTGGACCGCGTGGTGGGGCTCGTGGTGCGCGAGGGGTGGATGCAGAGGTTGACGCGCGAGGACGCGCTCGGGGTTCGAGGGGTCGGGGTCGGGGTCGGGGTCGGCGGCGACGGCGACGCGGCGGCGGCGGCGGCGGGGGAGAGTTGAGACGGACGACGAACGCGACGCGCGCGGTACGTCAATCGATGGATTACGTTTGTTTGAGAACCTTCCGTCCGTCCTCGCTCGTTCGCAATCATCGTCATCCATCGTCAATCAATCAATCATCAAGTGTGGGACAGCGCGTCGACCGGACCGCCCCGCCGTCCTCCTCGTTCGCGCCGCGTTCTTTTTTAGTACACCCGCGCCTTGGGCGGGACGTGTTCCATCTCGTCGTCCAGCGGCTGCGAGTGCACGGGGCGGTAGTCGATCTTGACTTTCCGCTTCTCGTCCACGAACCCGAGCGTGTGCTTCATCCAACTCACGTCGTCGCGATTCGGGAAATCCTCCCGCGCGTGCGCGCCTCGCGACTCCTTGCGCTGCTCCGCGCTGTGCATCGTGATCTGCGCGTTCGGCATCAGGTTGTGCAGCTCGAGCGCCTCGATCAAGTCCGTGTTCCACACCAGAGATTTGTCCGTGACGTCGAGGTCCTCCAACCGTGACGCCACCTCGTCAATCTTGACGCACCCCTCCGCGAGCGTCTCCTGCGTGCGGAACACCGCGGCGTCGTCCTGCATGACGCGCTGCATCGCCTTTCGCACCGACGCCGTGGAGTGCGCGCCGCTCGCGCTTCGAACCGACTCCAAGTGCGCGATGGCGTGCTCGCCGAAATCGCTCGCGAGCTTCCGGTGCGGCATCCCGGGCTTCAGCGTCTCCGACACCGTGTTCGCGCACGCGCGGCCGAAGACGACGATGTCCAGGAGCGAGTTCGCGCCGAGGCGGTTCGCGCCGTGCACCGACGCGGACGCGCACTCGCCGGCGGCGAGTAAACCGGGCACCACGGTGTCGGGGTTTCCGTCCGACCCGATGGTGAGGACTTCGCCCTTGTAGTTGGTAGGGATCCCTCCCATGTTGTAGTGCACGGTGGGGATCACGGGGATGGGTTCTTTCGTGACGTCCACGCCCGCGAAGATCGCGGCGGTCTCCGAGATGCCCGGGAGCCTCTCCGCGAGAATCTCGGGCGGGAGGTGGTTGAGGTGGAGGTAGATGTGGTCCTTCTCCGGGCCGACGCCGCGCCCTTCGCGAATCTCCATCGTCATCGACCTCGACACGACGTCTCTCGACGCGAGATCTTTCGCCGTCGGCGCGTACCGCTCCATGAACCGCTCGCCCTCGCTGTTGCGCAGGATCCCGCCCTCGCCGCGGCTTCCCTCGGTGATCAAGCACCCGGCGCCGTAGATCCCCGTCGGGTGGAACTGCACGAACTCGAGGTCTTGCAGCGGCAAACCCGCGCGCGCCACCATCGCGTTCCCGTCCCCGGTGCACGTGTGCGCGCTCGTGGCGCTGAAGTACGCGCGGCCGTACCCGCCGGTCGCGAGGATCGTCTTGTGCGATCGGAACCGATGGATCGTCCCGTCCTCCATGCACATCGCGACGACGCCGACGCACTCGCCTGATTGTCGGGGTGGAGTTGAAAGGCGTCAGAAGCGGAGTTGAAAGGCGTCGAGGACGGGGATTGAAAGCGGGGGGTGGGCGCAGAGAAACGACGGCAAAAGTCCTTAAGGATCGGCGTTCACCACGCGAACGCGGTCGTATGGGAACCAGTGTGAGATAGAACGCACCTCGGTCCATGATGAGGTCGAGCGCGAAGTACTCTACGAAAAACTGCGTGTCGTGCTTCAGCGCTTGGCCGTACAGCGTGTGCAACATCGCGTGCCCGGTCCGGTCCGCCGCGCACGCGCAGCGGTACGCTTGCCCGCCTCTGCCGTAATCGAGGCTCTGGCCTCCGAACGCGCGCTGATAGATTTTCTCGTCGTCGGTTCTCGAGAACGGCAGGCCGTAGTTTTCGAGCTCGATCACCGCCTTGGGCGCCTCGCGGCACATGTACTGGATCGCGTCTTGGTCCCCGAGCCAGTCCGCGCCCTTGATCGTGTCGTACGCGTGCCAGCGCCAGTCGTCCTCGGTCATGTTCCCGAGCGCGGCGTTGATGCCGCCCTGCGCGGCGACCGTGTGCGAGCGCGTCGGGAACAGCTTGGTGACGCACGCCGTCTTCAGGCCATGCTCGCTGAGGCCGATCGCGGCGCGCAGACCGGCGCCGCCGGCGCCGACGACGACGGCGTCGTACTCGTGGTCGATGATCTGGTAAGCGGGCTTGTTGGCGCCTGTTGCGGGAGGAATCGTTCGCGGGAGGAGGAGGAAGCGCGTCAGTCGCTTGATGACCTAAATCTCAACATCCGTCATCGAAAGCGGGGGCAAGAAAGAGGAAGAAAATGACGTCGTCGATCGATCCGCACCCGCCGACGCCGAGGTCGCGAACCCGCACGCGGCGGGGCGCGTCCAGGTGGACGGCGCGGGCGCGCCGCCCATGCGCGCGCCCACGGCCCGCGCCGCGGCGCCGAGGATCTTGCGTGCCGACATCTCGACGGATGGATGCGCGCGCGTCCAACTGATCGACGATGGAACGACGTCGACGAAGCGACGGACAGAGAAGAAAGAGTTCGCCGATATTTTCTGTGAGAGATGCACGGCCTGACGCGCGCCATCGGCGCCACAGCAATCGCTGACCCGTCCGATGCCGACTGTCCGCGCTTCTTCGCTCGTCGTCAGTCAGTCCACCGGGCGCGATGCCGGACGTCCTGGGCGGCGCCGGAGGGAAGAAGAGGCAGAAGAAGCATGCGGAGGAGAAGAAGTCGTTCCGACCCGGGGACCTCCCGCCTCGACGCGGGCGGGAGTGGAACCCGGGCGCGGGCCCTCGTCCCGAGAGGGATGAAAAAAAGCGATCCGGCGACGAAAACGACGGCGGCGGCGGCGGCGGCGGCGGCGGCTCCGACGCGCGACTGAGCAACGTGTGGTACGAGGCGAGCGAGACGCTCGCGCTCCCGCCCGCGGTCGCGAAGCGCGCGAAGGAGCCGTCGCAGCGCGAGATGGACGAGAAGGAGCGCGTCGCGCGAGGCGCGCTCGAGGAGCGGACCGCGGCGTACGAGAGGCTGCAGGCGCGAGGGAATTCCGCGGACACGAGATGGCTGAGCGCGGTGCGCGCGTCCGGCACCGCCGCGGATAAGATCGCGGCCGCGACCGTCCTCGCGCAGGAGGACCCGGTCGCGAACTTGAAGTCGTTGGAGTCGCTGCTGTCGCTGCTCGAGAAGGCGCGCGTCAAGGGCGGGAAGCGCGGCGCCGTGCAAGCCGTCGCGGCGTTGCAGGAACTCTTTCGCGACGCGCTTTTACCTCCGGACAGAAAGCTGAAGTACTTCAGCGAGCAGCCGCTAACGCGCGCCGCGGACGCGCCGAACGAGCGCAAGCGCCTCATGTACTGGCACGTGGAGGATCTCGTGAAGCGCGCGTATTCGCGCTTCGTGAACGCGCTCGACGCGTTGTCGCGGGATCCGCTCCCGGTGCTCAAAGAGAAGAGCGTCAAAGCCGCGTACGAGCTGCTGCGGTCGAGACCGGAGAACGAGAAAGCGCTGCTGGACGTAATCGTGAACAAGCTCGGGGACCCGCAGCGGCGGACGGCGTCGAACGCCGCGCACTTTTTGCTCGAGATCGTGAGCAAGGAGCACCCGGCGATGAAACGCGTCGTCGCGAGAGAGGTGGAGGCGTTTTGTTTCCGGCGAGGCGTCGGGCTCAAGGCGCAGTACTACGCCGCCGTGTTGCTGAATCAGTTCCCGCTGAACCACGGCGAGGACGGGAAGAAGCTCGCGTCGCAGCTCGTGGAGTTTTACTTCTCGCTGTTCAAAGTGCTGCACGCGCGGAGTAAGGTGCGTTCTATACAAAAGTGTTTCACCCATCGCCCGGTTTCAACACTTGACCGCGTCTCCTTTCAACTGACCGGTGAACTATTTTTGTATGGAACGACCCTAAGGAGGCGATGGAGAACCCCGGAGGCCAGGGCGACGACGACGGAGGTAAGGGCGGCGCTAAGAAGGCGCGGTGGAAGGACGGGAAGAAATCCAGCGGCGGCCGCGGCGGCAGGGGCGGCCGCGGCGGCAGGGGCGGCGGCGGACGAGGCGGAAGAGGCGCCGCCGGACGAGGAAGAGGCGGCGGACGAGGCGGGAAAAAATACGGCGACGTCAAACTCGCGCCCGCCGCGGCGCTCGGCGCGGGCGTCGACGCGCGCGTCGTCTCCGCGCTCCTCACTGGCGTCAACCGCGCGTTCCCGTACGTCGACCCCGACGCGGTCGAGCCGCTCGTGGAGAAGATCTCGCCGTCGCTCTTCGCGATCGCGCACTCGCCGAACCTCGGCGGCGCGCTTCAGGCGCTCGCGCTGTTGCTGCAGCTCCTCTCCGCGCGAAACGCGGTGAGCGATCGATTTTACCGCGCGCTCTACGCGACGATGACGCACCCGTCCGCGTCGCGCTCGAGCAGCGCGGCGGCCGGGCAGCTCCTGTCGCTGACGTTTCGAGCGCTGAAGGACGACCCGAACCCATCGCGAGCCGCGGCGATGATCAAGCGGCTGCTGCAGGTGGCGAGCCACGCGCCCGCGCCGTTCGCGTGCGGCGCGCTGATGCTGACGTCGGAGTTTTTGAAGCTCAAGCCGGGGCACTGGGACGCGGTGCGTCAGCCGAGGGAGGGCGCGGACGCGGACGACGTCGAGACGTTCGTGGACGAGGACTCGGAGGACGACGAGGACGAGAAGACGCGACGCGACGAGAAGAAGAAGAAGAAGAAGAAGCGCGGCGGCGGCGGCGAGGAGGAGGACGGGGACGAGGGGGAGGACGACGACTCGGAAGACGCCGCAGAAAACGAAAATTCGGACGAGGACGAAGACGCGCGACGCGGCGTGCGAGCGCGCGAGGCGTCGGCGAACCGCTACGACATGCACAAGCGGGACCCGCTGTACGCCAGGGCGGACACGTCGTGCTGGTGGGAGCTCGCGCTGCTCGAGAGAAACGTGCACCCGTCCGTCGGCGCGATGGCGCGGAGTCTGCTGTACGGCGTCAACGTGGAGTACCTCGGCGATCCGCTCGCGGACATGACGCTCGCGAGCTTCCTCGACAAGTGGCTGCAGAAGAAGCCGAAAAAGATGAAAAAAGCCGGCGCGACGGGGGGATCGAGCGCGATGATGAAACGAAGGGACGCGGCGGAGCTCGAGGCCGCGGCGGCGGTCGCGCCCGGGACGGCGGAGTTCGCCGCGCTCGCGGAGGAGCGCGTCGACCCGAGCGAGGTGTTTTTCCATCGCTTCTACGCGAACAAGGCGGAGGGCAAGTCGGGGAAGAAGAAGGCGGCGGATAAGAAGAAGGCGGGAAACGACGACGACGACGACGACGACGACGATCTCGGAGGCGGTGGGTCCGAGTCCGAGTCCGACGACGACGCCACCGCGGAGCGACGGAAGAAACTCGCCGCGCGCGCCGGGATCGAGGGGTTCGAGAACGAGGACGACGAGGCGGACTCGGACGCGGACGACGTCGACCTTGGCGACCTCGAACTCCCATCCGACGACGACGACGACGACGAGACGGCAGATGGAGCCGCCTCGACCGTCGTCGCCAAGGGGGTCAAGGGGAAGGACCTCGACGCGCGGAAGGCTGGGTTCGGCGGCGACGAGGACGATGAGATGGACGCGGTGCTCGAGCGGGAGGAGAAGAGGGAAGAGCGCGCCGCGGACGCGGACCGGTTCAACTACGACGCGCTCGCGGCGGCGTACGGCGCTAAGCCCGGGTATCTCATGGCGGGGTACTTCAAGAAGCAGACCGAGGTGGGTTCGGACGGCGACGACGACGACGCGGAGAACGCGGAAGACGCGAGCGGCGACGACGGGAGCGAGGACGAGGACGAGGACGGCTTCGTGAAGGGCTCCGACGCCGTCAAACTGTGGCCCGCGGTGGAGGGCGACGGCGAGTCGGAGGACGAGGAAGAGGAGGAGGAGGAGGAGGAGGAGGACGACGACGACTCGGAGAAGGAGGAGGACCCGTTCGACGCCGCGATGAACGCCGCGCTCGAGGCGGACGACGACGACGAGCCGCCGCCGAACGAGGACGTCAGCTTCGAAGGTTCCATGTCAGAAGACGACGACGACGACGAAGAGGAGCCCCCCGCCCCCGCCCCCGCGTCCGCGAAGAGGGAGCCGATCACCCTCACGGCGGCGGCGCCCGGGAAGGGGAAGAAAGGAGGGGGCGCGTCGCTGATCGGCGACGCCACGTTCGCGTCGTACGACGACTACGAGGCGATGATCGATGAGGATTTCAGCGAACACCCGCCCGCGGGGGAGGACGACGGGGAGGACGACGGCGACGGCGGCGGCGACGACGACGACGACGAAGCGCTCGCCGCGGCGTTGGGACTCGAGGACGAGGACGAGGACGGCGAGGACGAGGAAGAAGAACCGCCGGCGAAGAAGAAGGCGCCGACGCCGCCCGCGAAGCGAGTGACGCGGTCGTCCGCGAAACGTCCGAGCAGCGCGAAGGGATCGGGGTCCGCGTCGAAGAAGAAGCGCGGCACGTAGGCATTCAATGAATAACGGACATAAAAAATTGACTATTTAAAGAATGACGCGCGATATCCCTCGCTTCGGTCAGCGACGACGCGCGGCGCGTCGTCGTTGACCGCGGCTATGATAAAAGGCAGCTGCAGCTGCAGCGGCACGACTCAACTCTCAACTCGTCGTGAGAAATATCATAATTGCATTCCCACCCATCCCGACCCGACGCGTCACGACATCTCCGCCAGCGGCAGCGTCCCCGTCGTCGCGCGCGCGACCGCGTCCGCGGTGAACTTCCCGAACGGCACGCACAGGTAGCACCCTCTCGGCGCGAACGCTCCGACGCCCGGCGTTAAACTCTCCGCGCGCGGGATCCGCGCCGCGTGCGCCCTCGCGGCTTTCCCCCACTTCTCCGCGAGCGCCTCCCCGAGCTCTTCACTCTCGATCATGACGTTCATCTCCGCCTCGTGAAACGCGCTTCGAGCCCACGCGTTCCAAGACCCGACGCTGCACTTCGAGCGGTCCGCGACGCAGTACTTGGCGTGTATGAACGTGAACGGAAACTTATACGGCGGGTCCCCGGACCCCTCGTCGTACGCCTTGAGGTCGTATCTGGGCGTGAACGGCGGGACGACGCCGTCGCGCTCCTCGTCGTGCACGTCCCACGCGCGGCGTGGACCCGTCATGTACACCTCCGCGGTCGGCGCCGCGATGAGCAGCGCGCGCGCGCCCGCCACCAGGTCGCTCATCGGCGGCCGCAAATCGCACGAAAAGTGCGAATTGAGAAGGACGCGGACGCGGACGCCGCGTCGCGACGCGCGCGTCAGCGCCGCGACGAGCGGCGTGTGCAGCGCGCTGAAGCCCATAGACATGAGGAACTCCTCTTTCGCGGCGTCGATCATCCCGATCACCGCGCGGAGGACGGCGTCCTCGCCGCCGCTGCCGGGGCGCGACATGACGGGCGCGAAGCGGACGCCGCGCTCGTGCCACTGCAGCGTGAGCGACTTCTCCATGGGGTGCGCGGAGGACTGCGGGGAGTCGTCGCACGGCTCGTCGGCGGCGCCGTCGTCCGAGTCGAAAGAGACGTCGACGTCGACGTCGACGTCGACGTCGACGTCGACGTCCTCCTCCGCGGACTCGGACTCGGACTCGGACGACTCCTCGCTCTCTGAGGAGGAGGAGTGGCCGAGGACGCCGGCCATCTTCGCGCGCGCGATGGCGGCTTCGCCCGCGGCTACCGCGGCGGGGACGATGGACGACGACGACGNCGACGCGTCCGCGCTCGACGTCGCCGCGGCGAGCCTCGTCGTCGTCGTCGTCGTCGTCTTCAAAGAAGGTCTTGTCTTCGCGCTCGGCGGGAGCTCCTCCCCGGTCTGCTCCCTCCACGCGTCGACGAACTTCTCGTCGGCGTCTCGCGCGGCGGCGCCGTCGAGCAAGACGTCGCAGTCGTACCCCCCCGTCGCCATCGTGGGAAGCATGTTCGACCCGCCCACGATCGCGAGCCTGCCGTCGACCGCGAACATCTTCACGTGAGACTTGATGTCGTGCCCGGTCACCGCGTCCTTCGCCTTGAAGAACGCGACTTTAAACCCACCGGGGACGCCGACGCCTCGGATCGCCTCCGGCAGCGTCTCGCCGTAAAAGCGCGTGAACGCCGCGCGCTCGGCCGCGCCCTGCGCGAATCTCGTCAGCGGGCCCCACATCTCCGCCTTCGCCACCGCGCTCTGCGCGGGGAGCGCGTCGAGGAGCAGCCGCACCTTCACGCCGCGCGCCGCCGCGGCAGGGAGGAGGTCGCGAACGACGCGCACGAACGGCGCCTCGTTGGCGAAAAAGTAGCAGCTCATGATTCGAATCGTCCGCGCCGCGCCGCGAATCATCCCCTCCACGAGCCTGAGGTGCTCCTCGTACGAAGAGATGAGACGCACGGAGCACGTCGGCGACGGCGCGAACCCAAACTCTTTCCGCAGGACGCGCTCGTCCGCCTCGGAGACGACCGGCCAAGGGCACGTCCCCGCGCCGACGTACTTGGAGTTCCACGCCGCGACGTCGAGCGACGCCGACGCCGCCTGCGCCGATCGGAGCATGAGGAGCTCCGCGGCTTCGTTCTCCAGGCGATAGTACGACCCGCACGTCTTGTCCGTGCAGACGCAGCCCTCGCCCGCGCGGAGGATCGCGCGCGAGGCCGCGGGGATTATCGGGACGAGGAGCTTCGCGAGCGATCGCGACGCGCGCTGCGCGAAACGCGTCGCGCAGAGGCGCGCGGCGAGCGCCTTTGGGTCGTTCCATACGAAGCGATGTCGGGGTGGAGTTGAAAGGCGTCAGAAGCGGAGTTGAAAGGCGTCGAGGGCGGGTATTGAACGCATTGGGTGGGCGGAGAGAAGCGCCGGGACCCAAAAGTCCTTAAGGATCGGCGTTCACCACGCCAACGCGGTCGTATGGGGACCAGTGTATATGATAAAACGCGCCTTGTGCGTCAGCCCGTCGCGAAACGCGAACCGCGGGAGCGGCGGAACGATGTGGTTGTCGAGCGGCGGGCGCGTCACGACGTACGCGTCCTTCGGGACCACGGGCGGGAGCGAGAGCGTCACGAGCGGCGTCTCCGCGGCTGCTGCGGCGTTTGCGTCGGCGTCGGCGGTCGCGGCGGCGAAGAGGGCGTCCGCGTCGGCGTCGGCGTCTTGAAGAAGCGATTCGATGAACGCCGCGGTCGCGGCTCCGTCCGCCAGGAGGAGCTCATCCTCCGCCTCAAAGTCCTTCTCCTCGACGACGCGCGTCACGGAGCCGACGACGTCGCACGCGGAGCCTCCTCCGCCGTGCGCGAAACCCGCGACGCCGTCGTCGTCGAGCTCGATCGCGAGGCCGCTGGTCTCCGGCGCGAGCGTCGTCCACGAGCCCCCGCGCATCGCGAGCGCGAGATCGTCTTCGCTGGGGAGAGACTTGGCGCGCGGCGTCTCCGCGTCGTCCGCCGCGAGGACGACGGTCACGACGGTCGCGGACGCGGGCGCGGGCGCGAGGGCCTCGGCGGCGTCGACGACGAAGGCGTCCATGATGGCGCGCGCCCGAAGGGCGGGGAGCCGCCGCGTGAGGTGCGCCGCGCCGGAGGACAATGGCGCGCCGACGCGTTTCTTGGACGTTTAACGCGTTTCGAAGGTTTGTTCTAAAATTTTCCGACGCGTTTTCCGGGTTCAGACTAATTGCTCATAGGGGGTGCCTTCCCTCGGAAAGGACGAAACGGATCACATCATTCCTC